CAATTATCACGACTCACTGCAACCCTGACCTCCTGGGCTCAAGCTATCCTCCCTGCCTCATTGTCTGATTTCTTTTTTTTTTTTTTTTTTTGAGATGGAGTCTTGCCCTGTCACCCTAGCTAGAGTGCTGTGGCGTGATCTCAGCTCGCTGCAGCTTCCACCTCCTAGGCCCAAGCAATTCTCCTGCCTCAGCCTCCTGTTAGCTGAGATTACAGGCAGGTACCACCATGCCCAGCTAATTTTTGTATTTTTAGTAGAGACAGGGTTTCACTATGTTGGCCAGGCTGGTCTCAAACTCCTGGCCTCAAGTGATCCACCTACTTCGGCCTCCCAAAGTGTTGGAATTACAGGTGCGAGCCACAGTGCTTGGCCCGAGCTGTATGATATTTCTTTTTCCGCGTAAGTTCTTTTTATTTTTCCTGGAATTTTTGTTTTCCATGTTGTTTACTAATTCACCCTAAACTATGCCAATGTTCTAAGCCCCTCTAAATGCCTAGTGCATAAGGTATTTTATCACTGTCATCTTCTCAGAGGCACCTGTCCTGGAGTTTCTGGCCAGCTGTGCCTAGCACACAGACTTCATCCTAAATGACAATTTCCTCCAGGCATCTCATGGGGCCGCTCCTCTCCTGGATGTCTTTTGCTTCCCTCTTTCTTGATAAACTGTCTCCTTTCATTGGTGCTCATCCCCCAGTAGCTTTCTAGAAAAGTGTGCAGAGGCAGTAGATATCCAAAAATGTTTTTGTTCTTCATTTAGACTCAATTGATAGTTTGGCTGGATATAGAATCCTGGGTTGAAAACAGTTTTCCTCTGGAATTTGAAAACGTTGCTTCATCACTCTCAGGGTTGTTGTGAGAATTCTAAAGCTAATTGTAACCTTTCTTTCTTGAAGCTTTTAGGATCTCCTCTTTGTGTTCTGAAAGGTCACTATTACGAAAGTTAGGCGTCTGTTTTCATCTACTGCACTGGGAACTTGATGTGATGGTGCCTCTGATGTGGTGCTGCATATCCTTCAGTACCGGGAAAGCTTCTGGAATTATTTTTTTCCCCTCCTTTCTGTTTTCTCAGGAACTCTGTAATTATTCAGGTATTGCATCTCCTGGACTGATTCCTTTCATTTTATCTTTTCTTCTCTATTTTCCATCCCTGACTTTTTGTTCCACTTCCAAACTTTCTGTTGTTTAAATTTCTGTTATCATGTGTTTACTTTCCAAGTCCTTTTCTTGTCGCCAGATGTTCCTTGCTAAAAAACAGTATCCGGTTTTGTTTCCTAGTTACAATATATGTTTGGAATCTCCGAGGGTATGAGTGGTATCACTTTGTTAGGTTGTTGTCTGCCTGCATAATCTCTGTTAGCTGTTTTCTCTTTTGTTGTTTTGGACTCTGTGGGATTGAGGCTGTCCATGGATTTCTGGTGATTCCTGGTTACCTGCACATGTTTAAGACCTCGGGGGAAGCTCTGTCAATCAATGTGGCTAAGTCAGCAGTGTGCTTCTGTAGGAATTGGCAGGCTGTGGGGTTCCCCAAAGAATTCCTCCAGTCTGGGGGTGAGGTTCTGGGCCATGAACATCCTGGGAGCTGAGTGGGGAAAAGGGCTAGTGTGAGGTGGGGGGAGGCAGGTGTCCCAGCCTTCCATGTGAATTTGCCTTTAAAGTTTTCCTGTTTTCAGTCGGGTAGCCCTGTCCACAGCTGGGCTTGGCGTTCCCCAATTCAGAGACTGTCTATTTTACCTTTTTCTGGGGAAAAGGCTTACAGATTCCTGCTGGGGTGGGGGAGGGACAGGCACTCTTAGCTGCTGCTTAAATTTTCTTTTTCTTTCTCTCTCTCTCTTTCTCTGTCTCTTTTCTTTCTCTGTCTCTTTCCTTTCCTTTCCCCCTCCCCTGCCCCTCCTCCCCTCCCCTCCATCTCTCCTTCCCCTCCCTTCCCTTTTCCTTTTCCTTTCCCTTTCCCTTTCTTTCCTTTCCCTTTTGACACAGAGTTTCACTCTGTAACCCAGGCTGGAATTCAGTGACATGATCTTGGCTCATTGCAACCTCCGCTTCCCAAGTTCAAGTGATTCTCCTGCCTCCGCCTTTTCAGTAGCTAGGATTACAGGCATGTGCCACCACACCCGACTAATTTTTGTATTTTTTTTTAGTAGAGGCATGGTTTCACCATGTTGGTCAGGCTGGTCTTGAACTCCTGGCCTCAAGTGATCTGCCCACTTCAGTCTCCCAAAGTATTGAGATTACAGGCGTGAGCCACCATACCTGGCCTTCTCCTTTCAAATTAAAAATTATGACTGGGCGCCATGCCTCATACCTGTAATCCCAGCACTTTGGAAGGCTGAGGTGGGTGAATCACCTGAGGTCAGGAGTTGGAGACCAGCCTGGCCACCATAGTGAAACCCATTTCTACTAAAACTACAAAAATCAGCCAGGCTTGGTGGTAGGCACCTGTAATCCCAGTTACTCTGGAGGCTTAGGCAGGAGAATCGCTTGAACCCCAGGGGGCAGAGGTTGCAGTAAGCGGAGATTGCATCACCATACTCCAGCCTGGGCAACAGACTCTGTCTTAAAAAAAAAAATGTGAGCAGTATTGCCTGTGCACAGGCACTCACTGAGCATCTGTCCCGTGGCGAGACCGCTGGAGGAAGCGTGGGAAAGGAGGGAGCTCCTTCTTCCTCTGGGACAGGCAGCAAGGATCATCTAGCTGAGGAGGCTGATGCAATGCTCTGCGTAGTGATGTATCAAGAGGCTGTAAAAGGACTGAAAGGCAGACACCACTCTGGAAACTTTTATATTCTCCTACTTGGCTGTCTTTCTCATTGCCTGGTGAAGGGCAGGACTGAGGTGGCTGAAATAGTGATTCTTAGCGTCTAAGAAAGCTAAGAATTTTAAGTGGTCAATTTTAAGTTTTTAAGTCTTCTCACTGCACAAGTGAAAGCCCCAAACTGTTTCGCATCACACAAACCGACTCAGGCAACACATGCAGAGTGCCCTAGAGCAGTGGGTACTGGGCATTCGCAAGTTAGGAGGGACTCCCAGGGCATTCTGGAGCTTATCGACACAGTGGATAATTAAAATCACAAACACGGCCAGGTGTGGTGACTCAAACCTGTAGTCCCAGCACTTTGGGAGGCTGAAGTGAGCGGATCATTTGAGGTCAGGAGTTCGTGACCAGCCTGGACAACATGGTGAAACCCTGTCTCTACTAAAAATACAAATATTAGCTGTGCATGGTCGTGGGCACCTGTAGTCCAAGCTTCCCAGGAGGCTGAGGCAGGAGAATCACTTGAACCCGGGAGGTAGAGGTTGTAGTGAGCCAAGATTGAACCACTGCACTCCACCCTGGGAGACAGAGGAAGACTCTGTCTCAAAAACTAAATAATTAAAATCACAAACACATTAGATGTGGTCATCTGGAGACTTCCTCATCTGGACAGAGACATGCAACTTTCCTTTTTTTTTTTCTCGCTCTGTCGCCAGGGGCCAGGCTGGAGTGCAGTGGCGTGAGCTCGGCTCACTGCAACCTCTGCCTCCTGGGTTCAAGCAATGCTCCTGCCTCAGCCTCCCAAGTAGCTGGGACTACAGGCATGCACCACCACACCCAGCTAATTTTTTTTTTTTTTTTAAGTAGAGACGGGGTTTCACCATGTTGGCCAGGATGGTGTCGATCTCTTGACCTCATGATCCACCTGCCTCAGCCTCCCAAAGTGCTGGGATTACAGGTGTAAGCCACCACGCCTGGCAGACATGCAACTTTCAATAGCAGCCTTTCCATGTGCATTCAATTTCCCATGCATACTTCTCCACTCCAAAATTACTAACATGTTTTCTCTTAATGGGTTTTGTTTTCAAACACAAAGATCTCTCCTCTATTGGTCTTTTTGTTTTTTAAAAAAGAGAGGGTCTTGTTATGTTTCCCAGGCTGGCCTCAAACTCCTGAGCTCAAGGGATCCTCCTGCCTTGGCCTCCCAATAGGTAGGACTACAAACTCATGCCACTGCTGGTTTGAGCTTGGTGCAGTGGCTCATGCTCTAATCCCAGCACGTTGGAGGCTGAAGCAAGAGGATCACTTGTGCTTGGGAGTTCAAGATCAGCCTGGGTAACATAGTGAGACTCTGAATCCAAAACTAAGCAGAGCCCAGCCACATGTGCCTTCACTAGATCTCTGGGTGACTCTGTTGCTGGCTACCATTTGAGAACTGCCTATTGAGAACTGAGTATCGAATGCGGTGATCCCGCTCAAAGGTCCATAGTAGCAATGGGGACGATGGGGATGATGGAGATGTCTCAATGATCCTCATGGGAGGAGTGATGCAGGCATGGTGTATATTCACTTTCTCCAGCTCTGTTTTCCTGTCTGCTGTCAGGAGACTTGCTCATAGATTTGTGCGAAGATGACCCACAGATGACAGGCTGGGAAGTCATAGCACTATTCCACACACCAGTCAGATGGGGTTGTGTGTGCTCATGCCTATGTTGCCCAGGCTAGAGTGCAGTGGTGCAATCACAACTCACTGCAGCCTCCACCTCCTGGGCTCAAGCAATCCTCCTGCCTCAGCCTCATGAGTAGGTGGGACCACAGCCATATGCCACCAGCTTGTCCAGCTGTGTTTTCTTTCTTTCTTTCTTTCTTTTTGAGATGGAGTTTCAGTCGGTCACCCAGGCTGAAGTGCAGTGGTGCGATCTCAGCTCACTGCAACCTCCACCTCCCAGATTCAAGCAATTATCCTGCCTCAGCCTCCTGAGTAGCTGCTATTACAGGTGCCCACCACCACACCCAGATAATTTTTATATTTTTGGTAGAGATGGGGTTCACCATGTTGGCCAGGCTGGTCTCAAACTCCTGACCTCAGGTGATCCACCTGCCTTGGCCTCCCAAAGTGCTGGGATTATAGGCATGAGCCACCATGCCCAGCCCAGCTGTGATTCTTTTTTTTTTTTTTTTTTTTTAAAGGAAACATTCCTTTTCCTTTCTGATTTGAAGTGCCATCCTTGTCACAAATTAAACTCACCTGTGTTTTAAAAATATTGCATATTCCCAGACCTCACCCAAGGACCAGAATCTCTGAGAATGGGACTCCAGCCTCATTTGGACTCCAGTGCCTCAGAGCCTCGCCACCTGGTCTGCCAAGGACCTGCAGCATCAGTGTAATCTGGGATTGAGACAGAAGTTAAAAGTCTCAGTACCCACCCAGGTCTGCTGAATCCACAACTGAGTGGAGCCCAGCCATGTGTGTCTTCACCAGACCTCTGGGTGACTCTGTTGCTGGCTACCGTTGGAGAGTTGCCTATTGAGGACTGAGTATTGAATGGGGTGATCCCGCTGACAGGTCCACAGTAGTGATGGGGATGATGGAGATGTCTTGATGGTCCTGATGGGAGGAGTGATGCAGGCATGGTGTATATTCACTTTCTCCAGCTCTGTTTTCCTGTCTGTTGTCAGGAGATTTGCGTGAAGATGACTCACAGATGACGGGCTGGGAAGTCATAGCACTGTTCCACACGCCAGAAAGGGCTGAGGGCTCCCGGCTTGCAGAGCACTGAGGGTGGGTCACAGCAGGACCTTCCCATAGCGGACTCCACTCCCCTCTCTCTTTCCAGGGCTGACCTTGGCAGAGGACACCCGGTCTCAGGACTGAGTCACTGGCTGTTCTGGAGGCCTTGGGGAAACAGGTGGGTTTCTTCATTTTCAAGGTTCTGCTGAAGGGGTGGGGCTGCCAGGGGTGGGCGGTGCTAGGAAGCTGGCTCTGCTGACGATCCCATTCCCACTCTTCACTGCTGCGCGGATTCCCATTACCTGCGCAGGGAGGCCCCAGCTGCTCAGATCTTCCCCGGTGAGCCCTCGGGATGCTGCAGAGACCGGGCCAGGGCCCTCCGCAGGGCGGCTGATGAGTAGTGGAGCAGCACCGGCCCAGAGAGCCAAGTGCCATCATGCTTGATGTCCACGGGCTGCGCGAGCCCAGAGGAGTGGCCTGATCAGCGTGGGAAGCCGCGAGGGCTGGCTGCTGCTGGGATGTAAGTCTCAGGTGGGACCTCCCCCCGCCGCCATCCGGAGTGGAAATCAGAGGCTCACCTTCCAGCCTTGGCCATCTGATTTCTCGGCATGGCTTCAGCGTGGGTGGCTTCGGGCTGGGTTCCAGGCCCACCGCGGGGCGCAACGCCCTGCCACACCAGGATCTCTCCCCTCTAGGGTGATCAGGGGTACCAGGCTCCCGGATCCCACCATAAGTTCCCAGTAGACCTGCGTTTCTCCTACCTGCTTGTCATAGAGCTCCTGAGTGTTAAACTACAGACTCTCTGGCCCTTTTTCTTTCTTTCTCTCTCTCTTCCTTTTCTTCTTTATTTTGAGAGGGAGTTTCACTCTTGTTGCCCAGGCTGGAGTGCAATAGCGCGATCTCGGCTCACCGCAACCTCCGCCTCCCGGGTTTAAACGATTCTCCTGTCTCTGGAGCTTTCTATGAAAACCTGCTAGGGCCTTGGGGGTCGAACCTGAGAAACGGGCATAACAGGCGCTTCTGTAACCCTTCTCAGTGAAGCGGGAACCCCCAAGCTCTGGGGACCAGGAAGCTTTGGACAAGGGGAAAGGGCGGGACTCATGGAAGTCTGCCCGTGAGAAATAGCCTCCTGGACTTGATTGCTTCCGCGGACGGTCTCCTCTGCTCCTCCCAGGGTGACTCACAGGAGGCTTTCTTCCTCACCCAGCCTGAGTTTCTTGGAAACAGAGCAGACTTTTTTTTTTTTTTTCTGCCAACACTGAGGCCCCACCCTGGGTTGCAGGGATCAAGACGAGGTTACAACACCTACTTTCTAAGGACACCTTCAGGGGTGGTCGCGGCCATCTCCCGCCTCTGAGCCCTGACGTAGGAGGTTAAGGCCTGAGTGAGACGCAAGGCGGACCAAAGCTCTCCCGGCTTGGCAGGAGGGCACTGGCCCACCCGTCTGTGGCTCCTTCCAGAAACACAGGCGATCCTGGAGGGGGAGGGGAGGTCTGGGGCAGAAACGTGGAAGAGTTTGCTAGAAAGTGTTTCCTTCTGGGGGCGGGGCCGGCCTAGGTCTCCCCCGCACGTGCGCGCGGTACCAGGAGAAGTTCCTGCTGGGACGCCTTTCCTTCCTGCCGCGCCCCCAGCCCGCCCGCTCCCTCCCGCGGCAGCGCCTTTCCCACGGTTCTGGGGTAGCTGGGGCAGGGGCAGCTGCGCCTGCAGCCGGGACGCGGTCTCCCAGGCACCCCTCAGTCCCCCGCCCCGGATCCAGCCCCTGCGCCCGGGGCCTGGGACAGGCGGCCAGCGGGGGGCGCCTGCGGCCGCTCCTCCTTCCCCGCCCGCGGTGAGTGCCCGGCCGGCCCGCGGCCACTGGGGCGGCCACTCTGGCGGCGGCGGAGCGGGAGCGCGCGGCAGGTGAGCGCGGGGCTCAGGGGAGTGCGGCAGGCGGGAGGTCCAGGGATGCGTCCGGGGTCCAGGGTGCCGGTGGCCGTCGCCCCGCGCCGCGCGGACCCCACCCAGGCGGGCGGGTGACCCCTCTCCTGGCCCGCCCTTCCCCGGCCTCGCGGGCTCCCGGCCCCTTGCTCGGCGGCAGCAGCGGCGGCTCCTGCCCGGGTGGGTCGGGAATGCTCCGAGACCCCTCCCTCGGGCTGCGACCTCCTCCCTTGGGCACCGCCGGGAGACGCTTCCCAGACGCTGCCCCAGCCAGCGGGAGCGGGCTTTCCAATGACAAGACTGAGACCCGAGGGAGGCTGCCTGGCCCCAGACCCCTGCCGTGGAGCCCGGGGAACCCAGACGCCTCGCACACGAGCAAGTGACAATAGGAGGTTGGGGGAGAGACGCTGGAGCCTCTCCGTGGATTGGAGTTGTTCTCTCTCCTGGTTTATGTCTCAGTTCCCTCCATCAAAGGCCAGAAACTCCTTTCTGAGTCCCAGAGCTGATGCTGGAAATGATCGCGCGTGGCCTGGTGATTAGATGTAGAGCCCTTAAAATGAGGATGAGGATATCTTGTGTGGTCGGCTGAAGCCTCTTCAGGCTGGTCCAGAGTGATACTCCAGAGAATGAATGAATGAATGAATGAATGAATGCATGCATGCATGCATGCATGACCAACAGGACTGTAGTGGACTCCGGGTGAGGCTACGACTGTGGGGCCTAGGCAGGGGCTTTGGTCCCTGAGAGGAGGCAGTTTTAGGGTTCAGCGGATGCTTTCAAACGTGGGCAGGTGCCCTTGTAGAAAGGAGTTTGTTGGCTGTGGAGCTGGGGCTGGGCTGTGGGGAGGGGTCAGACTCCAGGTCTATGCGCGGACCCCACAGAAGTGGCTGACTGGGCCTGGGGAGCAGAGGTGAGAACCCCCTTCCCCACTACATGGTGAGTTGGGTTCATATGCGGAGGCAGGATTTTTTTTTTTTTTTCTTGAAACAGGGCCTTGCTCTGTCCTCTAGGCTGGAATGCAATGGCACAATCATGGCTTACTGCAGCCTCCACCTCCCAGGCTCAAGTGATCCTCCCACCTCAGCCTCCCAAGTAGCTGGAATTATAGGTGTGTACCACCATGCCCGGCCAATTTATTGATTTTTTTTTTTTTTTGTAGACACATGGTTGCCCAGGCTAGTCTCAAACTCCTGGGTTCAAGCCATCCTCCTGCCTCAGCCTCCCAAAGTGCTGAGATTACAGGTGTAAGCCACCGTGCATAGCCTTTCTTTCTGTTTTTTTGACTCCTGATTTTATTACTCCATTTCTTTTCCATCTGAAGCAGCCTTCTATTTCTGGGAGCCTGGCCTCGCAGGACCAGTTCTTCTAAAGCCACCTTTTCCTTTCCGCTGCTCAGTGTCTGTGATCCCCAGGCACTGGGTCCTCTTGCCTCAGCAGCCACACAGGCCCTGAGTGCCCTTGGGTTTATGAGAGTGGGTACTTCTGGGCTTTTTACAAAGGAGGACAGGGAAAGGTGAGGCCTGCTAGGCCCTCCCAGGGAGCCCTCCAATGTCTGAGGCCCTTACAAAGCCCCTGTGTGTCCTTTGTATCTTTAATCATAAGTTAGGCAGGACCCAAATGATCAGTCCCATTTGCAGGTCAGAAAGCTGAGGTCTTCACAGGTCTCGTAGCAAGGAGCTGGGCTATTCTGACATGGTCTAGGTGGAGCCCGTTGGGGTCCACATCAGTAAGCCCGAGCCCCAGCCCCGAATGTGAAGTCAAGTAGGCCTGGTGAGTGCCCACCATGGGCAGCACATATTCCCTGCCCATGCCCTGCCCACCTCACCCTGTTCCCATTCCTACCCCGTACCCAGAGGTGCCCTGGGGCTTTGCTCCTTACCCCCACCTCTTGGATCCCCTTTCATAGTGGGCACAAAAGAACATTGCTGGGGGAGAGGGGCTTATGTCCCTTCCTCCCCACCCCCGGGCTGAATCCAGCCGGGGTGGCCTGTGTCAGGGCGGGAGGCAGAGAGGTGAGTTAGGCGTGGGCCCTGCCATGGCCAGTAGGGGAGGCCGAGTGGTTGCACTTTGAACCCAGACACTCCCGCTGCAGGTGGGCCAGCCTGTGCTTTTGTGCATCGAAGGGCAGGGAGGGGCCATTACTTTGTACAGATACACTGTACAAAAATTCAGGGTATTGGCCGGGCGCGGTGGCTCATGCCTATAATCCCAGCACTTTGGGAGGCCGAGGCGGGTGGATCACGAGGTCAAGAGATCAAGACCACCCTGGTCAACATGGTGAAACCCCCGTCTCTACCAAAAATACAAAAATTAGCTGGGCATGGTGGCGCGCGCCTGTAGTCCCAGCTACTCAGGAGGCTGAGGCAGGAGAATTGCTTGAACCCAGGAAGCGAGGTTGCAGTGAGATCACACCATTGCACTCCAGCCTGGGTAACAAGAATGAAACTCCATCTTAAAAAAAAAAAAAAAAAAAAAAAAAAATTCAGGGTATCTTTGAGGGAGTTTGTGGACAGATCATTTTCTTCTTTAGTCATGCTTTCTGTGTTTTCAAAATTGTCGGCAATGAGGAAGAAAAGCAAAACTTTGTTCCCTTTGTGTTTGCTCTGCTAGATTTTCATGAGCAGTCCTAGGCTTCTGAAACTTAGAATTGGTTTTGCAGATGAGATCTGGAGGCTGATGCGAGTTTCTGAATTTGACAGGATATCACATGGTGAGGTTCCAGGATTTTGAGATATTTCAGGACACATTGGCTGGCCTCACAGCCTAACAGAACGGCCTGAGACTCAGGCGGAAGATGCCCTGTTGGTCGCTGGCATGCTACCTCTTCCACTGTACGTCTGCTGGGATCTGTGGCTCATGGTGGTCGGAAAGCTCTCTGAGGGGTTCTGCCTCCTCTTCTCAGATACTGCAGACCTGTGTGTGGCCCCTTTGAGTGCTTTCTGCTCTCTGCATGAGGGCCTGCGCCATTCCCACCTCCCAGGCCCTGCCCTTGCTGAGCCTTCTTCCTGTAACCCTTCCAGCATGGTCCTATCATGTGTCTTAGCAAGTACTCAGGCTCCAGCCCAGCGCAGCGGCTCACGCTTGTAATCCCAGCTCTTTAGGGGCCTGAGGCTGGCGTATTGCTTGAAACCAAGAGTTAAAGACCGGCTTGGCCAACGTGGTGAAACTCTGTCTCTACTAAAAATATAAAAATTAGCCGGGTGTGGTGGTATGTGCCTGTAGAATTGCTTGAACTCGGGAGGCAGAGGTTGTAGTGAGCTGAGATCGCGCCACTGCACTCCAGCTTGCTCTGGGTGACAGAGCGAGACTCTGTTTCAAAAAAGAAACCAAAGTACTCAGGCCCCTCTTAGACAGTTGACCTCAAGCAAGGGTTCTCCCGAGCCCTGGTCTGTGGGTTAGGGATGTGGCCTACAGGCTCTTATGACTTCAGGCTCTGCCTTTTGGACCTGGGCATTTGGGCTTGGACTGTGCTGTAAAGGAGAACATGGCAGGCTCTGGTGGCCCCAGACCTCCAAGGCCCTGGTTATCGCCCAGTTTGCCAGGAGTCGGGGAGGCTCCTCTGCAGGTGAGCACATTCTTACTCTGGAAATGGCTACATGGGGCCCTGCTGGGTGGGGGTGGTGGGCATCCAGCCAGGGTCGTTGCCAGGCATGGGGAGCTGGCAGCCAGAGGCCCAGCCCATGTGTGCGCAGGAGGGTGCTCCTTCATTTAATGATCACCTGCTGAGTGAGGCGCCTTGAGCAGCTGTTTGCAGTGGGAGCCCCTGTTCAGTGAACAACAAAGGGCTTTCTCTGGAAGCTGTTGGGCCTGGAGGACAAGAGCAGCAGCTCTAGAGAGAGTCTGCTGGGCTTGAGTCCCAGCTCAAGCTGCAGTGCGGTAGCTGTGTGACTTTGGGCAAGTGCTTCAACCCCTCTGCACCTTCAGTTTCTCAGTTATAAAATGGAGACAATCAGAGTGCTTATCTCAAAGGCCAAGGATTTAACCTCCAGGTTAAAGGCGACTGAAGAGAAGTGATAACAAAACGCCTGTAATTCCAGCACCTGGGGAGCCCGAGGAGGGCAGATCACTTGAGCTCAGGAGTTCGTGACCAGCCTGGCCAACATGGTGAAACCCTGTCTCCACTAAAAATACAAAAAAATTAGCCGGGTTTGGTGGCAGATGCCTATAATCCCAGCTACTTGGGAGGCTGAGGCAGGAGAATTGCTTGAACCCACGAGGTGGAGGTTGCGGTGAGCCGAGATCATGCGGCTACACTCTAGCCTGGGAGGGCAAAGTGAGACTCCAGCGCAAAAAAAAGAAAATAAAAAAAGCCTAAAATGCAGTATGTGGCCGGGTGCAGTGGCTCACACCTTTAATCCTAGCACTTTGGGAGGTTGAGGCAGGTAGATCACTTGAGGTCAGGAGTTTGAGACCAGCCTGGACAATGTGGTGAAACCTTGTCTCTATTTTTAAAAATAAAACATTTAAAAACAAAATGAAATTTTAAAAAATGCAGTATGTGAGCACAGGATGGGAAAACAGGTATAAAGCAGCTATGACTGGGATGGTTGATAAAATTGTGTAGGGGCTGTAAAGTATTGTATTAACATTGAATGATCTGATAACTATATGAGCTCTTGTTCTTAAGGAATTTTCAAGGCTAAAGGGGCACAGTGTAATTAACCCACTATCAAATATTAAAGAGAAACAAATGTATAGATAATAGAATGAGGCAAAATGGTACAAATAGGCAAATCTAGATAAAAAGAATAGAATTATTTGTACTTTTCTTATCACTTTTCTGAAAATTTTTAGAAAGTATTTTAAAATACAGTTTTTAAAAATGCCTGTCTTGTCAGGTGAGGTGGCTTGCA